GGATGGCAGCGGGGAAGCTTCCTTCCGGGTGCTGGGACCGGCTAAGCTTCACTGCCCTAGGAGCCTGGGATGGAGGCGGAGAGCTTCCTTCTGGGTGCTGGGACTGGCTGAGCTTCACTGCCCTAGGAGCCTGGGATGGAGGCAGGGAGCTTTCTTCTGGGTGCTGGGACTGGCTGAGCTTCACTGCCCTAGGAGCCTGGGATGGAGGCGGGGAGCTTCCTTCCGGGTGCTGGGACCGGCTCATCTTCTTGGCCCTAGGAGCCTGGGATGGCAGCGCAAAATGCTTTTCTCCAAATGTGATCCATTTCAATTGAATTGTGACAGCTCCAGTTTTTTTTTGAAAAATGCAGCCTTTTCAAAAGCATCATGCATTTGTTTATGACTTAGACAGCCCAAGACCAAGAAATTGTGCCTTACAAGGTTTAAATTTCTGTAATGCCTTTCATATAATCCTAAGTTTATCCTGTGAAAATTTAGAATTGCACAAAGATCTGATAAACACCATTGACTTCACCTCAGCAAGGACTTTAGAACACCCATTTTCTGAAAAGAAAAATCCTTCTGTCTCAGAATGCTTTGGGCTACCTTTCTGAAATTTTCTGACACCGGAGTTTGTATTTGCCCAAGGGATAATGAGGAATAGTAAAGCAAGTAGCCCTGCTCTTTTCTTCTCCTAATATCTTCCTAAAATGAAACTCTCAGATTGCATGTTTGGGATAATAACTCAGAGGAGACGAAAATTTAGAAGCACAACCAAGAATGAGCATGGGCTCAGGCAGGAATGTTTCACTTCATTGCGTTTTACAATTGCAGGCCAGATTTTGATTTAAATAGCCTCACAGAGTACAGTTAGCTCTAAACTAATATTTGTGCATGGTTCCAGTTGGTACAGTTCCTTTCTGTTTTAGGACATGCTTAGGCCTCAGGGTGGGGTGGGGACTCCTGTGCATGGCCTGCACAGTAGCAGCTTGGAGCCACCCAGCCTGAGTTCTGGCTGGGGAACCTTGGGAAAATAGGGTGGCCAGGAGAGGCATGGAGGAGAGGACTCCCAGCCAGCACCCTGGAATGCCACGGGATGGCCCTGTGACTGTGAGTCATTTTCTTACCCTCGTGAGCGCGTGAGTTCGGCTGTCAAATGAAGTCTGTTGGTTGGACTCTTCTGATGGCAGAGATACTCAGACTAAGCATGCAGTTGGGAATCCCTGCCTTGCCAAACCCATCTGGGCTCTGTGTCCTTTTTCCTCCAAGCGGGAGTCTGATGGAGCTAGTTCATCACGAGTTCTTTTGAAGCATCTTGTAAGGCTACACACAGCCCAGGCACAAATCCTGCTCTGTCCTTTCTTCCAGTGGCTGCTTCTTTCAGTAGCGGATGTACTAGTTGGCAGACCCCACAGAGCACTGTGGTCTGTCCCTCATCGTCACTGTCGCCGTAGCTGCTGCTTTGTAAAATGCATGCTCCACACCATGCACGCTACTAAGTGCCTCACTTGCATTACTTCCTTTAGCCCTCACAACAGGGACCTCTGCCCCCTTCCCAGTTCTTCTCCTGACAGTTCCTTAGCTTTCGAATCTTCTGTCAACTGCAGACAGATTTTTCCTGACCACTCCAGATACCTTCCCCTGCAACCCATCATTCTGTGCCCTGAGAGGTTTTCTTCCTTATTGCTCTCAGAAATCACATGTGTTCATTGTGTGTTTTTTCCCATAGAAGCCTTATGGAAGCTTTATGCAGATTTACCACTGTGCCTCACGTGGGCATTAAAACCCAGGGTTCTGGCTATGAAATCCAGAGTTCATGCTCTGCTCTTCCTGCTGCGTGTTTCTGTTTCCTTTTTATAGATTTACCTTTGTTGTGAGCCCAGGGATTTTTTTTTTTTTTTTTTTGCAGGGTTGGGAGGGGTGGGTGGTGGTTGAGCTAGGGTCTCACTATGTAATTCAGGCTGCCCTTGAACTTGAAATGTAGCCCAGGTGGCCTCAGCCTCATGGTGATACTCCTCCCTCAGCCTCCCGAGTGCTGAGATGACAGAGGTACATCAGTAGTTTAAAAGTTTTTGGTTATTGGTTACATTTAATGCACTATTTGATATTTAGAATTGATAACTTCAGTATTAGCTCAGTCTACCATGCTTCTAGTACCAGAATTTTATGTGTGTAACCTTGTATAATCTTTCTTATGCACACAGACATTTGAGATGAGAATTCAAGGAAAAAAGGCTAGGCATGGTGGCACACTGTAATCCCAAGTACTCTGGGAGGCTGAGGCAGGAAGGTCACATGATCGGACCCAGCCTGGGCAACTTAGTGACTTAGCAAGACCCTGTTTAAAGATAGTTCCTTTTTTTTTTTTGGTACCGGGGATCGAACTCGGGACCTTGCGCTTATGAGGCAGGTGCAGTGCCACTGAGCTAAATCCCCAGCCCTGTATTGCTTTATCTTAACTAAAGATGGGGAAATGGTTAGAATATTTTGTCACCAATTTTTGTTCCTACTTCCTTATTGGGCTTACTCCAGTTTATTTAAATATTAAGCCCTTGATTCTTTTTTTTTTTTTTTTTCCCAACGTGGTCTTGCTATAGCACGCACCACCAGGCTCAATAAATATTATTACTTTTAAAGAAACAAGGGGAAGCTAGGCATGGTGTTGCATGCCTGTAGTTCCAGCACTCAGGAGGTTGAGGCAAGAGAATCTCCTTGAGTTCAAAGCCAGCCTGGGCTATACATAGTTCAGGACCAGCCTAAGCTACATAGTGAGACCTTATCTCGAATGAATGAATGAATGAATGAATGAATGAATATTTGTGTGAAAGTTATAGGAGGTGACAGGAAATCATTTTAGCACAGGAACTAGCTCAGTAAATTATTGGCAGATTTGAATGTAACTCTTTCTTAATCAGAATTACATCCATATGGTCCTTTTAAAAATTGGTGGAAAAGTTCTTGACCGATTAACTTCCTGTCTCTTCAAGTTAGTATTTCCTGTTGTGGCTCAATTTGTCAGTCAGCACACTCAGTCTAGGAACACAGGTTTCAGGACTGGAGATAAATAGTACTACAGTTACTGAAAGCTTGGAGAGCTGGTCCCCCAGGGCCTCACCCCCACAGAAATACCACATTGACCACAGGGACACTGCTGTGGCCTGCGTGCCCCAACTTTGCTACAGCTGATGGCCAAAGGAAAGTCCGGCAAAGGGCTGGCGTAGTGCAGTGAGCATTTTTGTCTGTTAGGAAATTCACTGGCAAAGTGGGTTGATGCCTGTCTCACATAAGTGCTGAATCTACGTACATAAGTAACTATGTTTAGAAAATACATATAGTTCTACTGTGACAGTGTACATTGCCAATAGCACTGGCATCCTCTTCTGAAAGTTTTACAAGGTGAGAAAGTACTTGTTCTATTTCTTTTTTTTTTTTTCTGTACACTTACCTTTTATTTGGCCACTTAGCAAATTTCCTTATTAATGCTAATAGGTTTTTGCCATTGTCATTTGGATTTTCTAAATACACAGTTATATCAGCAAAAAAGATAATTTATTTTCCAGTATCCATACTGATTTAGTATTCTTAATACTTGTTCTTTTTCTTTTCTATTTTCTTTTCTGCCAGTTCTAGTAAATCTTGAATGCTTTCTAGGATTCTTTGAAAGCATTTACACCCTGAGCACTGCTTCTAGTTCAACTCTTTCCTTACCTTTTTGATTATATTAATGTTGTTTATAAATATTTTCCCCTGCTTTAATTTCAGTGTCCAGTAGTAATCTCAGAACCACAGCACACTGTCAGGGAGGGTCACACTTACTTCTAAAAAATTTAATTTGTTTTTTGTTACTCTAGCAACTGAAATTAACCTTTGAGAAAAAAAAATTAACCTTTGAGTTTTTAAATGTTTATGTACAGGGGCCAGGGATTTAGCTCAGTGATTCCACTGCTTGCCTTGGAAGCACAAGGACCCAAGTTCGATCCCCCATACCAATTAAAAAAAAAAAAGTTTATGTACAAAACAGCATGCCCAGTCTACTTTCCCAGCCGACCGTCTGGTCCATGATGTTGTCAGCATTTACTGTCACTGGTAACACCACACTTCTGTTTATGCAGGTGGAAGATGAGCTCAGTTCTCCAGTAGTGGTGTTCAGATTTTGCCAGGAATTAGCAAACTCAGGTAGGTGATTTTAAAAGGGTATATTTTTGTGTCTTTGTTTAAAGGCTTTAAATGTGGCACAATTTCAAGTTAAATACAGAGCCCACAATATTTTTATTGTTTCAGTTTACTGTGATTATACCACTGGTTCCCAAATACCGGTCTCTGGGCCTGTGCTAGAATGGCTGAGAGTCACTGAAAATAGCTTTCTTGTGCTGCAGTTCCCAGATACTTTGATTGAGTAGGTTAGACCTGGGAAACTCTGTTTTTAAAGAGTAACCTGGCAGGATGTGGAGCATGCCTGTAATCCCAGTACTCTGGGAGGCTAAGCCAGGAGGATCTCAACTTCAAGCCCAGCCTCGGCAACTTAGTGAGATGCTATCTCAAGGTCAAAAATTTTAAAATGTCCAGGGGATGCAGCTTGGTGCACAGGCCCTGATTCAATCCCCAGTACCTCAGCAAAACTGCTCCAAGTTCTACCAGTATCGTCCAAGGCACCATTAATTTTCAACGAGATGACTGCAGTCCCCACTCTACTGATCTGACTTCCCTGGATTGTGCTTGGCCCCTTTCAGACTATATGCCACATAGCAGTGAATGAGCATTAGAAGCAGAAATCAAATCATACCACTTCCTGCCCAGAGCATGGTAGTGTCCTCCTGTTTTGGTTGAATGAAGCCAGGCTCTTTCTGTGGCCCCCGAGGCCAGTGTGTTTTGCCCCTGCCTTCCTCTAACACCCTGCCTAAGCAGTGTACTTCAGTCCTACACACTCCCCTTCCTAGTGTACAGCCTTGGCATTTGCTGTCCCATCTGCCTCATGTGCATGTCCTCTCACTCTTGGGTCTCTGCTCAGCTCCCACCTCCTCAGAGCATCTGCTATGTCCTGACTGAAGGGCTCCATCCTACTATGCCGTGGCCTATGGTCGCCTTTCATGGCACCAGCAATGACCGGCAGATAGTGATTTTCTTTCTCCAGTTAGAATATAAGCTCGCAGGTAACAGAAGCCCTGCCTGCTTTGTCCATCCCAGGTGTCTGGCATAGTCCTGGGTGTGAGCAGGCATGCAGACTACTTGATGGGTCAGGATAAGTCTTGGGAAGCCCAGCTTGGATGCTTGGTGCTGTGGTTGACTGCACAGTGCTTGGTAGACTAGGAGTTGACTCATCCAAAGGCCTCCAAAACAAACTTTCAAAAAGTAGAGTAAATTCTTTTTCTGGCAGTGTATTCAGGTGTTATATAGTTTGAGAGAAAAAAATCGTGTGCTATGATAAGCCTTCTGGCAGAATTATATCTGATTTCAGTAGGAAATCATGAGGCTATTCCCTTGGGGCTAATGATAGCATCTAAGTGAAGCGGAGTTGAATTGCAGTGTTTAAATTGGCCATGTTTTGGGGAGTGAATCCCTTCTGTTTTGGCCTCAGATCCAGTCTTTAAATCCGTCCCAGTGCCCAGCATGGCGCCCTCCACAGTCGGCCGGGAGAGACATTCCTGTGACGCTCTGAATCGCTGGGTAAGGTGGCAGTTGTCTGCCTTTCTCTTTACATCCCAGAGCAGCATGTCTGGGGTAACAGAAGTGCTCAACTTGCCCTGGGGTTCTTTTCTCAGTCAGATCGCTTCATAGTCACTCCTGACAGTTCTTCATGGCATCATTCCCTTAGTTTCCACATGGGACTGTTTATGGCTACACGGTGCCCTGGGGAGCATGCAGCTGCCTCAGAGGGCATCAGGGCCGAGCCTATGAGCACCTTTGGCAGTTGGGCAGTGTGGGCCAGAGGCATTGTGCTTCAGCGCCTTGTGGACACTGAAATAGCACCTCTTGGTGCTTTAGTCTTGGGTGTCCTGAACAGCGTAAGGATGGTCACACAACTGCCATTATAAACCATGGTGCCGAGTGTGTTAGGCAGCCAGGCAGTGGTCGGCATAGATTATGAGGAATGCAGATTCCTAGAATCTGTAGAATATCATGTTTTATGGTAAATGCACCATTTGCCACAGAGAAACACTGGGGCAGTGTACCAAATGTCAGCAGTCAGTGTTTGAGTGGCGTGTTGTGGATACTTTTGATATTTTGTTTACCTGCATTTTGTAGAGTTTTATAGAATGAATTCTATTATTAAAAAGGAAAATAAGCCAGGTGTGGTGGTGCAAGCCTATAATCTCACCATTCTTGGAGGGTGAGGCAGGGGAATTGCAAGTTTGAGCCCAACCAGAGCCACTTAGCAGCTTAGTGACAGCTTGTCTCAAAATGAAAGGACTGGGGCCAGGTTCGGTGGCTCATACCTGTAATCTCAGCACTGAGGATGGCTGAGGCAGGAGGATTACAATTTCTAGTCCCTCCAAGGCAATTTAGCAACATTGTCTTAAAAAATAAAAGGGTCTGGAAATATAGTTCAGTGGTAGAGCATCCCTGGGTTTGATCCCAAGTACCACCAAAAGTAATACGTAGTTTTAAAAAAAAAAAAAAAAAAAGTGGCACAGGGTATTGTGGCACATGGCTGTAATCCCAGAACTTGAGAGGCTGAGGCAGGATCACCTCGAGTTCAAGGCCAGCCTGAACTATACAGTGAGACCCTGTATCCAAAAACAAAAACAAAAAAAGTGGCCATAAGTAGTCAAAGACCACCTGAAGATGAAAGGAAATGAGCTCCAGGAGCCCTTCCGGTCTGTGCTGAGTAGAGAGGGGAGGTGGGGAAGACGTGGTGTCCTGTGGTGTGAGAACATGCGTGCGCTGTCCTCTTCCCTGCAGCTGGGAGAACAGTTGAAACAGCTGGTGCCTGCCAGTGGCCTCACTGTCATGGATCTGGAGGTCGAGGGCATGTGTGTGCGGTTCAGCCCTCTGACGACAGCAGCAGGTAACTGGTCTGCGCGTTTCCCTTCCTTCTGGGAAAACAGCTCCATGCCCATTAAAGTCAGGCTGTTGGGCCAATTAAATCTGTCTGTCCGTCTGTCTATATTTTGCCGCACTGGAGGTTGAACCAAGCGCCTTGGAACAGAGATGCATCCCCAGCCCTTTTTTTTTCTTTTTTAGCAAAACATTTATTGGTACATTTTAGATATACAAAATGATAAGATTCATCATAGGGAATTTGAAATTCCTTTTTTTTTTTCTTTTGGTACTGGGGATCGAACTCGTGGGAACTTGTGCTTTCGAGGTAGGCTGCAGCACCACTGAGCTAAATCCCCAGCCCTGAAATTCCTTTTTGTATTTTTTGAGAGAGGGCCTGACTATATTGTTAAGCTGCTCAGGCTGGGCTTGAACTTGCAGTCCTCCTACCTCAGTCTCCAAGTGCCGGGATCACAAGCATGTGCTGCCCACACCCCACTTAATTTCCCTTTATGATATGCTGGGGTTTTTGTTTCGTTTGTTTGTTTTTTAGTTCATGTTTGCAGTAAATGATTACATTCATTGTAGGGAACTGATACATGTACATAACAAATCTAAATTCTTTTTTTCGCCCTATGATACTGTTTTGCTGTGGTTTCTAGCATCAGTTTTTGGAGGAGCTATTTCTTTTTTTTTTAAGGTAGCAAAAGTTTTACATTTATCAAAGACAGGAAAAGCGCATGTGTGGGACAATTGAGGTAGAAGTAGTACATTCTGCAAATGCGAGCGGGCCCCTGTGGAAGAGAGCACAGTGGCCACAAGGTTAATGGCCACATCCCCTTTATCTCCCAGCCCCCAGGCTGACATCAGGTCTATGCCTCATCGGAAACCTGCTGATCTTGCACCAGAAGTGAAGATAGCATTTTCTGATTGGTCCCATGACTAGCCCTTGGGAACTGTTTTTCCCCCACGTTGTGTCCTGGATCTCCATGACAGGTCACGCCCACTTGCCCAGCTGGCTGGCCACACCCTCACCTCCTGCCTCATTTCCCCAAAGTTCACCCACATTGAGGGTGTGGAGGTCTCTTATGTTCAAGTAGCTACTTCCAGCTGATAGGGGTTGCAGGGCTACCTTGTGGGGATTACATGCTGTCCAACTACCTGGGGATGCTGTGGCCCATGCTGGGCTAAAAACCTGCCTGAAGGCACTGAGACAGGAGTGTGTGTCTGTATGTCAAGTTTGAGCTGCCTGTTCAGTGGGAGAAAGGTTGGTGAATTTGTCAGAGTTGGGCTGTAGTGTGTATCACACCTGAAGCCTTGAATGGGTAAACTTTACTATTGGGTTGGAATCCAGAGCCCAAGAAGGAGCAGGTCAGAATATTTCCTGGCTGTCATAAAAGGTAGGCTCTGACAGATGCAGCAATTTAGAGATTTCTACATTTCCTGTGGAGGAGAAAGCATGGCGAAGAGGAATATTAGAAAAACTACCAAGAGCCTAAGAGCTGTAGCCCTAGCAAGATTACCCACATTATGGATCTAATTAAAAACAGGATCCTAATAGGTGCACATTTAAGATGTGGTGGATTAGGGGTCAGCTGTTTCTTTTCTTCAGGTCTAAATTTAGATCAGCATTCCATTGTAACTTCTCAAAAATAGCAGACTTCTGAAGTCACTTGAATCCCTGTGTTTTGATGTTGTGTGACCTTCCATTTTCTATCCCAAGGGTTCTTGCTCCTAACTGCCTTTTTTAATCACTGTGGGCCTTTAAAAACTACCAGTGGCTGGGCCACCTACAGAGATTCTGATTTCCTAGGTCTTTTCTCAAATGCATTTATTTGTCTTGTATATACTTAAGGAGTATACGATGTTTTGATTGTACATGGCGAAGATGAGAATCAGGAAGGGGCACAGAGCTCCCATGCCTTCTGCAGGCACAGGACCCTCCAGGATCTCCCAGGTGTTCAGAAACTCTGGCCATCAGCATCTTAAAAGTGGGAGACAACCCACTTTCCAGTCCCCCTTCTGTCTCTCTCAGACAGAAGCTATCTTTCTCTCAAATTTTTCCTACTCTTAAAAAAAAAATCTCCCTGGAATTTTAATAGGCCAGGGAAAGTTGACAGCCCCTGTTTGTTTTAGACACTTCAGAAAGCACTGTAGCCGAAATGGTGTGGATTTTACCACAGAAAGTCCTGGCGACTGTGGCCTCTGCACCATTCTCCAGGCCCAGTCCTCACTACCTGATGGTGATGTGAAGACTAAAGTGACAGGAGGAATGAATATGGCAACCATATGTAACAGTCATGTACTGTGTATTTCAAAAGAGCCAGAAAGAAGGACTTCGAATATTTTTGGCCAATGTTTCAGGAGGTAGAAGTGCTCATCCCAATTTGAACATTACACACTATATACATGTCTCAGAACATCATTTGGTACCCCATAAATATGTAATTTTCAAGCCTTAAAAACGATTTTAAAAAAAGATAGTATAAATTCGTTTGTGCTTTTTTGTGAGGTGACTCAAACATTATCAGGAAATGTTTGGTAGTTTATCATAAAGTATGTTCAGCATTTTTAGAAAGGTGTGTGTGTGTGTGTGTGTGTGTGTGTGTGTGTGTGTGTGTGTGTATATATATATATATATATTTTTTTTTTTTTTTTTTTTTTTTTTTTTTTTTTTGTACCAGGGATCAAACTCGGGACCTTGTGCTTGCAAGGCAGGCACTGGAACCACTGAGCTAAATCCCCAGCCCTGAAAGGTATTTTTCTTTCGAGGCAGGTGTCAGAACCACTGAGCTAAATCCCCAGCAAGTATTTTTCTTAATGATATGAAAGTAGGAAAATGCTAAGGATTCATCCTGCAAAGAAAAAGCCATTGTGGACTTACTGATGGCCAGACCAGCAGCCTTGGGGCTGAGTCTGTAAAGCTGGGGGAGCAAGGTCGGGACACCCTGAGGCAGCAGGAGCGGGCAGAAAAAGGAGGCCTGAGCCCTGGAAGTGACTCCAGTTGTGGCTGCCCTGCCCTTCCTGGTGTCCCAGAACAGAACACCGGAGTACTTCCCTTTCCCTCCACTTGTGGTAATGTAGAGAGAACCTCTGGCTGCCACTTGTTTTAATCTGTAACAGGATGCTTATCACCAGACCAAAGCAGTGCTGTGTGTGAGAAGGGTCCGATTTCTACACTGGAGTTTCATTGTTTACCAAATCTGGCTGGAGCAGCCAGCTGTGCTCATTTTTAACCCTTGATTCTTTCATAGCTGGGTTGAGTGGCCTTTTTCTTGACTCCTCAGCTCCAGCTAAACTGACTATACCTAGAGCTTTTGGGTGTGCTAATGAGAGTGAGGAGGGGATTGATTCCCTGTAAGCCGTTCCTTACACATTTCTCAAATATTCTGTGAATGTTTTCAGTTTTAGGTACGCAAGGAGAGGATGTGGATGAGCTTGTAGCCTGCATCCAAAGCAAACTGCCTGTCCTGACCTGTACGCTGCAGCTTCGAGAAGAATTCAAGCAGGAAGTAGAAGGGACTGCAGGTCTCCTATATGTTGATGACCCCAACTGGCCTGGAATAGGGGTTGTCAGGTAAAGGCTTGGCTTGCCTCTTGATGTTGAAGACTTTTCCAAATAAAGCACATGGTGGGTCATTTTGTGAACCTGCTTTGAAATTCAAGATGAGTATATGGAGTCACAATATACTTGTCTGTCAAAAATTCAACTAGAACTTACGGGCATCTACAAAGGCCCAGTATCGGCAGGTGATTCAGCCCACCATTGCATTCAGCAAGGCAGACGTCCCTTGGAGTGAGTGTGTGCTCTGGATGTGCCTACTCACAAGTGCCTGTGGGGAGATGCCAGTGGGCATATGTAGTGGACAAATGCTTACCATCCAGGGTATATAGAGTATTTCACGTTGGTAAACACAACCGTTTCCAGGGAGACAGCACCCCACTGGCCTCTAATCAGTGCATGCAGCGCTGTCCTCTTTAATGAGGACTTTTCATTGCATATATCTTTTTCATTGTATATATGAGACCTCCAAACCTTGCCTCTCTTTCCTATAAAGCCAAACACTTAGGCCTTATTTATATTCTTGAGAGTTTTCAATCTCAAGACACTATTCAACCAAGCATGGTGGTGCATATCTATAATCCCAGCACTCGGGAGGCTGAGGCAGGAGAACTGCTGTGAGTTCAAGCCAGCCTGGGCTGCATGGTGAATTCAAGGCCAGCCTGAACTGCATAGCAAGCCCGTCTCAAAAAACCAAAACAAAAAGACACAGTCTGTGGCTCCTTTGCCCGTTGGTCTCCATATTCTGTCAATCTCTGCCTATAACCCTGTATCTCAGGAGACAGTTGATGTCTTTGACTAAAGTGCTGCTGTTTGATATTGTTTTTAGGTATGAACATGCAAATGATGATAAGAGCAGTTTGAAATCAGATCCAGAGGGAGAAAAAATCCATGCTGGACTCTTGAAAAAGTTAAATGAACTGGAATCTGACCTTACATTTAAAATGGGTAATTACTTCTTCTGTGAGTTAACTCAGCTGTGCAAGGGCATTTTCTAATTGGCTTAGACGGCTTCATCCATCTGGAGGAAGCTTCAGGTTAGGTCCAGGAGAAGGTGCAGCTCTTCTTGGCTTCCTTCATGGTCCTACAGTTACAAACAGGAGTGGCCCAGTCCTCACTCTCCACAGAAAGGGAGCCAAGCTTGTCTGCTGTTTCTTCCTGCAGGCCCCGAGTACAAGAGTATGAAGAGCTGCATTTATGTTGGCATGGCAAGTGACGACATAGATGTGTCTGAACTGGTAGAGACGATTGCAGTCACAGCTCGGGAAATTGAGGAAAACTCAAGGGTCTGTAAGACTGATCAGTGCTTTTTTCGGGGGTTTGCCTCCTCAGCTAGCTGGGATCATGAGAGAGGAAGCAGCCATGGAAAATGTCCATTCACTCATTCCCACAAAGTTTGTAAATGTCCCTGAGATTGAGGCGTTGTGCCAAACACGAGTGCCAAGGAGGCCTGACACAGTCCCTGCCCTCAGGGGCCGAGCAGGCAGTGGGGAGATACCCCCAGGTGTAGTGAGTGCTGTGCAGTTACAGTAGCTGCACATGCCAGAAGGCTCCTGCCTGCAAGCTCAGTGCGGAGCTCCTGAAAGAAGCTGGGCCTGAAGCCAGGTGAGACGGGCATCTCCGGTAACAGGGCTCCCACAGGAACAGGCCTTGCTGCCTGCCCAGTTGGCACAGAGGACCAGGAGGAAAGCCATTCGTTAAGCCAGATGTGTCTGAGAGCAGACACATGCTTGTCATGTGTCCTGCTTTGAGTAGGGGTCAGAAGAGAAGGGAGTTTGAAGTGAAGTTGAGGAACCAGTTCCATTCACTGCTGGGTGGACCCTCAAGGTTTCTTCCAAACCTGACAGTATGACTTCCACCTTTTTCTCCTTGAATGTTGAGTGGGTGATTTGTTTTCTAGTGACAGGACATTTGGGATGTATTTTCTCCTCTGTTGCCTATCAAGTAAGGGTGGTCACTGAGGTGTGTGTCTGGGCCTCCACAAAGCATTTTACTGTCTTCTCTTTGGCTTTCACTCTGGCCTAAAAATGCAGACTTCCATTCCTGATATACTTCTGTAAAACATCCCCAGTGCTGTGCCAGAGGTTCCTGTAGGCCCCAGCAAGAAGTGTAGGCCATTAATGCCTTTCTTGGTCTTATGTAGCTTCTGGAAAACATGACAGAAGTCGTCCGGAAAGGAATTCAGGAAGCTCAGGTCCAGCTGCAGAAAGCAAACGAGGAACGACTTCTGGAGGAGGTGAGGCTCCGGGGCCAACTCTGGGGCCGCACTGGGCAGGGAGCCCAGCTCGGCCGCTTGACCCTGAGCAAGGGTTATGTTTTGCAGGGGGTGTTGCGGCAGATCCCCGTAGTAGGATCTGTGCTGAATTGGTTTTCTCCAGTACAAGCTTCACAAAAGGGAAGAACATTTAACTTAACAGCAGGTAGGACTAACTCATCTTGGCTCGGATCTCATTTACATGGGAGTTTTGACCAGATGCCGTTAGTACCAACACCCCTCATGCTGCAGTCTTTTACGATTGCTGGTGTCTGTCCCTGGGTCTTCTGGAGAGTCCCTGCTGCCCTGTTACATTTTTCCAATCCCCTCCACCACTAAAATAGTGGGAAGGCAGATGCTTGTTCCTGCAGTAAGCAGAGTACTCTCCATTGAATCCACAAGAACCGGTCCACTGGGCATCTGAGCTCAGGGTCACTGGTCCTTGCAGTCCTCGAGTGTCCTGCCCAGCACAGGGCTGCTTTTGAAAGGGGAATCCTAAGGTCAGAGCACACAGCACTACAACATTTAATTTCAAACCAGGCAGCCAGAAGTAAAATCAGTTGCTAGAATTTGAGGAAGATATTAAAGCCCAGACTCCTCCTTTCCTGTTCTGCCAAAGAAATAACATTCCTGAAACCCAAGGTCCTTTCCCCAGGAAATGACCGAGTTGTCACAATAGCAGGAGATAATCTGCCAAGGCTCAGCCTTTAGCAGAGGCGTCTATTCCTTGTTGCTAAAGCACATTCCCCAGGTGAGGCTGGCTCCCCAGGCATGCTTGTGTACACCACTGCCCCAGTGTCCCCAGGGACTTGGGAGAGTAGGGAGGGAGATCTGACACTCAGGGCGGGGCCACTCAACCCAGCTGTCTCTGGGTCTTGGCATGTTTTGGGAAGGCACAGGCAGAGTGGCATCACCCAGGGCAACCTGTGCCAGGAGCTTCTGCCCATGCTTCTTTCTCCCTGGCAGGCTCTCTCGAGTCCACAGAACACACATACGTCTACAAAGTACAAGGCACAGGAGTGACACCACCTCCAACACCCTCAGGCATTCGCACCAAACAGAGACTGCCAGGTGCGTTACCTAACAGTTTGAGTTCAGTAACTTGGAAGAAAATTGGTTGTTTGGGGGGAGGAAAACAGACCTTTGCGTCATGTTTAACAGTTTTCCCTTGTTTGAGGTTAACTTGCATTCCTTTGTTTTACTGGTTCCTCAACCCCGACTCCTATTTTTCTGTACTTAAGACCATGTATCACTGTCCCTTTAAATAACCACTCAGTAGCCTTGAAACTCTGCCTTAAAGAAATGCCCTGGTGGCACTGTGGGGGTGAGGTGGGGTCTGAAGAGCTGGCTTATTTTAACCATGGTGCTGGTTCTCCTGAGCTTGTCTTCATGAAGAGGACTTCAGAAGTTCCCAGCCTGGGGAGCATGATAGAATCACAGTAGCAGTTCTCAGTTCATTCTTCATCTAGAATGTTTGAGGACCAGAAATGCCAGGATTTTTGCCTAAGCAGTTATAAAGCAAAGCAATAACCAGGTGCACAGACAGCTTTTGTCACCAGGCCTCCTCTCCAAGCTGTCAGCACTGTTCATCCCATCTTTTCCCAGGTCAGAAGCCTTTTAAGAGGTCCCTGAGAGGTTCAGATGCCATGAGTGAGACCAGCTCGGTCAGTCACATTGAAGACTTGGAAAAGGTGGAGGACATGTCCTATGGGCCCGAGCAAAGCACCCTAGAGGCCCGCAGCCCAGAGCAACCTCCAGGGGCACCGGCCCCTCAGGCCAGCCAGACTGAAGCCCTCCAGAACAGGGCCCAGCATCCCGAAGATGACCACCCGCAGGTGGAGGAGCTGGAGAGCTTGAGATAAAATTCAGGGTTGGATTGCGACTGTACTGTCATTTCAGGGAAGAAGTTACACTAAAAGTGTGAACTGTGCCACATGTTCATCCAGTAGAAATGACCTGTGCTGAGCTGGGATTTTTGCACAAATACATGCCTGAAAGCCAGGCTTTCCAGGAGGGCAATCGATTGTTTTATGTGTATGTAAAACCACATTGTTTCTGGCCTGCCCAAAGGTAGTAAAACGACTTTCCCACTTTTATTCCCAAAGAACACTTACAGTTTCAGGTGCTTGCCACCTGAAACACTCACTCTCATCTTTCTAACATAAGCTTACGTGTAGATCGCACACGGTGACTTTTTATTAGGACTCTCCAGGTTCTGTGCTGTGCTTCCGCAGAGGCGAGGCAGTGGTGGCCTTGGTCTGTTGTAATGGGCTGTAGTGCAGTGGTGTTGCAGTGGACACTGGATTGGCTGGCTTTGTCCAGAGCCCTCTCCTGCCGCCCCCAACCGCTGCTTTTCCTGGAGACTTAAGTAAGGACTGTGTCCACTTGAGCCGTGGCAGGGCTTGTCTAGAGCTGTCCTTTGCCACAAATCTTTTCTCCCTTTCTATGCTCTTTGTATACAAATTTAAGGACTTGTCTAATTAGGAATAACTGTTGAGTCTCCTCCTGATCATGTATTTATGTGTGTGTACGTGTGTCTATTTTTAAATACTGGTAAAGCTTTTAAATCAACATAAAGGTGCAGACTGCGCTCGTTTCTGTCCCAGAGAGCCTGATGCTAATATGCTGTGCAGCACTACACGGGTTGAATGCTAAAGTAAGCTCGGCCTTGACTGTCTCACTTGAGAGGTTTGTAGCTTCTCTTCTACTCACAGCTCACCCTGGGTCCTGCTCAGAAATGAGAGCCAGAAAAGTCATCCCTCCCAGGCTGAAATGACTGGAAGTAAGTTCCGAAATTCCTACCAGTTTCTATTTTCCCAAAGTACTACGTCATTTCCTTTGTCCTAAGGTTGGGCCCTGTGCCTTTTTAGACCCGCAAAGTCGAGCAATGGGAAAGTTAAGATGGTGGGGAATTCACACTAGGTTTGTGGACTAGTGTGGGAAGCCTTAGTTATACCACATTAAGCCTGTAATTACACTGATTTGATGTGATTTTTGACATTTGGCACTTGTCAAAAAATTTTCCTCTTATTTTTTGGTGCAGATTAAACAGTCTTCCCTGTTTATCTGGTGCAATGAAGTATAGCAGATAACATGGGAGAGGGGTAAATCATCACCTTTAACAGGATTAATTTTTAAATGTTTTTATATATATATTTGGAATTGTTAAATCAGTTTTGCTGAAACAGAATTTCACCCTTGAGATACTATTTGAATGTTGGTTTCAATAAAGGTTCTTGAAATTGTTACTAGGGAACTCAGTTTATAAACCTTACTATTAATCAAACATTGTGATTTCCTTTTGAATAGGAACTTTAGAAACAACAGGTTTCTAAAAGTATAACTTGTATAATAACTACAATTTGGGCATTTTAGTATATGTGCTGCCAAAGCGAGCATGAATTTGGGCATTTTAATGACCTTATATCCGAAAGAACTGATTTATCAGTGGCTTTGTATAATTCTCTGATCAAATTTAGCCTCACAGATTATCTTAGGGTTTGATCTCACTATTCTCAAATATAATTATGTTTGTTCTTTCTCAACCTTTCATTTATCTAGAAATAATAGGTCAGTTTTGGATGTGAAGTTTTTAAAGTATTTTTGAGCCAAAAAAAAATTGAGATGTTTAAAAATTCTCACTAAATTTTATTGCATTTTAAAAACTCAAGTTTTCCTGCACTAATGAGAAGAATTAGGAGTACTCACCCACGTATCTGAAATAGCTGCTTACAGACCAGTGATACAGGTAGCTTCTCCTCTGCCCATTATTACTGACCAAAAAGAAAAGGTTGGACACTGACTTTTTAGTAAAGCAAAAAATAAAGCTAAACAAATGCCTTTGCCAAAATAAGATTTTATTTTGAAAGTCATTTGAAAGGTACGAGTAAGGAAAGAGACCTAAGACTCAATGGATATAGATTCCAAATTCATATTCTTTCCAACCCCACCAATGGTCTTTGTCATGCCAAAAAGTTGCTTGCTTTGGTAATTCCTATTTTTAGCTTCCTGAAGAAGAGATCTTTTCCCATAAGCCATCTTCATTTTTTTTGTAGAGGAGAGCTTTATTTCCAGGAAACAGTGTGTTCATTGGAGATGGGTATTGTTTTAAAAACATCAAGGTAGATCTTATATGTTCAACAAAGTGGGGGGGCTCCGCCAAAGGGGAAGTTGAAAGATTCTGGGGAGAAAAAAAAGTGGGCATGACAGAGATGAACCTGCCTCTGTTCCTTTCTCCCTGGTTCCTTAAATATTTGTCAGGGTGTTCTCAAATCAATACGTGTAATCTGAAATGTGTGTAGGTGGCTGCTTACTGTCCACCTATGCACACTTCTACTGAGGACAGCACTTAGCCCCAGCTGGCAGAAAGTTAAGGTTTGCTCATGGCTTCCAGAAACAACTGCTACTCACTGAGGGAGAAGCAGCTGTTAGCTAGTCTAAATCCTTTTTTTTTCCTTACAGATGAGGAAACCAGGACCCAGAGATTTAAGATTTACTTGGTCTGTAAATTCTTACCTCTAGTATTTGCTTATCATCCTGCTGTAACCAGAAATCCACATGTGGAAGTGGTGTCCAGGAATATGGGCCTATTCGAAGTTGTTCAGTCTTTGCATCATAAATGCTAATCATCTGAAAGAGTAATTCAAGAATAGGAAGCAGGGAGTGTTTACCTGTTTTCACCTCCCGTTACTGTGCGAGAGAGGTGTAGTCTCAGGCAAGGCACTGGTCTAGATGATAAACTACTTAAAAACCGTCTCATAACAAAGCTGCCACCTACTGGGTACTTCCCTCGCGTGGCCTTGCACGTTGTGGGTAATGTGTACCACGGTATGCAGTGCCGACAACAGTCCTCTAAGGAGATGGCGTTCTTTCCACTTGGGGTGAAGACCCACCCGACAGCTCCCATGTGCACTGAGCATGAGATGGGCCTCACAGCCAGTGTGTCTGGTGTGGATGCTCTCCACAGCTGCACAAAACACTGCTTCATTACTGACCCCTGAGCAGCTAATAATCTTGCAACTTGAAAACTCACAATGCCTGATGCCCCTTCAAAAGGAAGGAAAAACACAAACTGTAAAAAGCTAATTTGCCAAATGATCCATTCCCTAAATTCCCCAAATTAGCCAATGATAATTTTCAGCTTAACCAGCAATATTCAGTTTTGGTTATGGAGGTTGAAATATCTTCTGAGTACTAGGTAAATTAGGGTTGCTGTGCTATTTGAGGAATAACAAAAGGAACCCTTAAAATGTTAAAAGTCTGGCACAACAAATCACTCTGACACCAGACATTTTCCAGTGTTTCAACAAACATGTTTCTGATTTCTGTTTTTATGCTGAGTGCCCCATTTTTTATTCTGAAATAGGGTCTCACGGGCTGGGCTTGATCTTGTGATCTTCCTGCCTCGAACTCTCAAGAGTGCTGGGGTTCTGGGTGCCACCGTGGCCAGCAAAAGTCACTTTTTCATTTTTGGTGCATTACTGGGGATCATTCCAGGGCCTGCAAGGGCTGTACCACTGGGCTATACCCTCTACTCAGAGCATTTTAAAAGAATTCAAATGGGACTTATTTTTCTAACTTTAAAAATATTTAATTAAAAAGCACCCTGGAATGTATCTCAGTGGTGGCGCATTTACCTGAGCATATGCCAGGTCCTGGGGTTGATCCCTTGTACCACAGAAACAAAATAACAAGGAAATTAGACTTTTAAGTTAACTTAGTCACTCTTTTTTGGTTAATCAAGTGATTCCGGCAAATTGGTCAGTGACTTGGTCTAAAAGAATTTATAGCCTGGTATGGTGGCACGCACCTGTGATCCCAGCACTCCAGAGGCTAAGGCAGGAGGATCGCTGCATGTTCAAGGCCAGCCTGGGCTACATAGTGAGTTCAGGGCCAGCCTGAACTACAAAAGGGAGACCTTGCCTCAAAAAATTGAAAAACAAGAAAAAAGAATTTGCTCTCTGATGCATACCTGTAACCCCAGCACTCTGCGAGGCTGAGGCAGGAGGAGCACAAGTTTAAGCCCAGCCTGGGCAACTTAAGACCCTATCTCAAAATAAAAATAAAGGGCTGGGTGTGAAAGGCCCTAGGTTCAATCCTCAGAACCGGGAAATGGGGGGAGAGGGAGGAGGAGGATAATCCCAAGCCAGAGAGGAGAAACTTCTCCCTTTCTTGGTCTCCTCTATTTGAAAAGGTTACACAGAAAGTTCAGCAGCGAAAATACTCCAAAGAGCACTCTTTGGATCTAGACATCATGGGTTCACACCACCTCTTGCACCTTCTAGGCAGACAACTGGGGTCTTGAACTTAAAACCTGAAATTTTTCTTACAATGACGTGAGAAAGTGTGCATGTGGGAGTCCCTGATAATTCACAGCTGTAGAGGCAGACGAACCTTTCTAAGGTGAGTTTTGGGCAGTTCATCCTGCATCCCTGCTACCCCTTAACACAGAGTTCACACTTACCGGGCCTCCTGCTAGAGCCCGCGCTGCACGCAGCAACTCCTCTGGGCCTCGATCTTTAAAGGAGGCTCTGAAAATCTCTGCAGTTTTAATATTGACAGCTGCAAGGGCAACAGAAGCACTTTAACTGAGGGGAGCACAGCGGGCGGGGAGTCTGCGGTCCCACCTCAGAGCCAGACATGGAGACAAAAGAACGGAAATGGACTAAACGACTCTGAAGCATCTATGCCTCCCCTTTCCAGAAAGGGGTTGAGGCTTGGCCTGGGCCAGGTCAGACTCCCAAGCCCAGAATGACGCTCCCTGTTCCACTGGCAGGTGCACAGCCACCCTGGGCAGCCCTGTGACCAAATCCATTCCTGTACAGCCACGGGCAAAGACCATCAGTTTTTAGTTTATTACAGTGGTGCCTTGGTTCACGAACTCCATTCTCTCCATGATCCTGGTCACAAAGCGAACCAGGTAAGAACCGAATCAAGAGCTGGGGATTTAGCTCAGTGGTGCTGCCATCTGCCTCGCAAAGTGCAAGGTCTTGAGTTTGATCCTCCATACCAAAAAAAAAGGAGAACAGAATCAAATTTCCTTGTAAGGTCAGTCAACATTGAACCTAACCACTGACTTTGATTTGGTTCTCATCCAACTCAGTTTGTGACCAGAATCGTGGAAAGAAGTCCGTGAACCAAGGCACTGCAGTATTTTAGGTATACGAAAGTTGGAGAATAAAATACTGAGCACCTGTGTACTCACCACACAGCTAAACAAAATATTACAGATAGGGTAGAAGCCCTCTGCAAATACAGCCCCTTTCAGGCCACATCCTCAGGATCCTCGAGGCTGTGGTGGAGGGAGGAAGGTTTAAACTCTAGCCTGACAATTGTACACTTTCTCTTGTGTGACCTTTCTCACTCAGAACCTTACCTGGTCTGCAAAGTGCACAAAGGTCCCAATGTCCTGTCACTCCCCCAAGAGCACACCGCGGCCCCAAGAACAGACTCCCCCGCAGGTGTGGAGGGCAGGCCTGTGCTGGACACGTGGTCCCTGTTTTCCTGCATCACCACAGTTTCCCACAGGTTTGGGCAGGCAGGCCACTTGCTCAGGCCTTACAGTAACCCAGGAGCCTGGATCTGCGCTTAAGGCTGTCACATACCGAGCCGTGGGATCGCTATTTTGCCCAATCAGCCTTTCACCCAAGCCTCCAACCCTCAGGTAAAACACATTACTTACCAATACCATAAATTATTGGAAAGTGGTTTTCATTTTCTTCCCGGTCATTTAACTCTGAAAAGTTAAGATACTGTTGTCAAGCAATACTAAACGAATGTTTTTGTTTTTCTAATAAAAGCAACAAAGCTCTCACTGCAAAGTGGGAAAAACCGAGAAGGAAAGGGACGATGTCGTGTGGAGTCGCGGGGCGGGCAGGCTTGGGTGGAACAAGGCCCCTCACAGAGCCAGGCCCTGGCCCTCCCCACACGCAGCCCGTAGAGGGGTGGCTCCACTGCAGACACAGACCGGCAGGCAGGGGTGCCGCACTGGAAGTGAGGCTGCACAGGGTCTCATGGGCAAGGGGTGGAGGCTGTGCCAGCCACGGGAAGAGTGGGACATGCTGAGTGTGTGCTGTACAGCTCAGGTCCTGGTGCTAGGCCTGCAGGAACAGTGAGGGCAAAATGTCCCTGAACCTACACTGTTTTGGGAAGTGGCAGAACTTACCCGTCACACATAATGTCACTAAGTGAATGTCATCTTCTTGTTTATCAAATTCACCTAGAATTAGAGTTTTAAAACTAGATGTCA